AAAAAAAAAAAAAAAAACCACCCACAAGGGCAGATGTCTCTCTCTATGGAGAGATTTATTAAGAATCGATCTAGACTTTCCTCTATCCAGGTCTGTTTGTCCTTGTGTTCGTCTCCTCTTAACCTAATCTTGAATGTTAAATTTATGACTAACAGTACGTGCACTTCAACCTTGGCTTTTTAACATTTAATTGGCACTAACCATGGGGAAAAAAAGAATTTATTTATTTGAGTTAATTAAAACCTTGGATTTCGAGGTATAAATTACGATGACCGAGTTTTGCCAGCCAGAATACTAATAAAATTTGAATCTTTATCAGCATCCATTGAATTCTTCTTCATCTCTTGCATGGCACACCACCAACTGATAGTGAGCCTCTCAGTAAATTCGAACTATGTGTTCTAATCAGAATGTCTTTCCTAGATCGGTTTTTGGGTACCTTTAAAATCAATAAAATGAAAAGGATTTGACAGATAATTTCGAATAGTCAATAGTCCACAGAAGGGAAAGTTCATCACTTCTGCAAACCTGCACAAGGTTTGATCAAGCATAAATGTGCATTGTGCATGTCTCTGGAGGAGAAAACAGGTAGATAACTAATGTTAAATTTTTATCAACTCAAAATTTACATCATTTTACATATTTTCTGTTAATCTAGTTGATTTCTCATCTCCAACTTGCCCTGAAAGTTTGTATTCCAAACCGCATTGGATTGCCACAGAGAATTCTGCTCATCATCCCTCATCTGTGTCAAGGTTGCGTAGCCAACGAGCCATTTGGCTTGTAATTTTCAACTGCCTTCTGAAGATTGCTCTCTCGTGGTCTTATATGTTGGCCTCGAAATCTGGATGACCCTCTTGTAAACAGAAACGAGCCAAATCAGCTGTCCGCCATGGATAACAGATTGATGAGAATATGTCCACTGCGGAAAGACCTGGACAGCTGATTCGGCTTACTTTTATCGACAACAGGATCATCTAGATTTTGAGGTCAAAACTATCTTTCCACATCAATCATCAAAATTTACGGATTCCAACTTCTGTCTTACGAGAAACACCGAACACTTCCAAATTATGTAAAGGCGCGTCCTTTGCTCTTGAATGTACCTCGAGCACTTCTTCCAAGACTGGAGCTTTTGTACTCGGATCACAAACGATTGCCACCCCATGATCATGTACTAAAGCACGAAAGCGAAAAAAGAGAGGCTGATATCTGGTTTGATCAAATGTGAAACTGCTGTTGGAAAATACAGAATCTATTGCTTTAATTTGCTAGCTAAATATGATCAAATTTGCTGAGAAAGACCACGACTACATGCCAAGAAACGCATCTAAAAAGAACAAAAAGTAGAAGAGAGAGCACAAATTTGCATAGTTTAGCAAACCCACGAAATGTGACAATGCTGCTGGAGAAAAATAAGCTATCATGGACTTAAAAACACAAAAAAAATGCAGTTTTGGTTGTGTATATGTAAGGAAAGAATACAATTTTGTGGTGGTTGATACATGTTTGACCCTGATTGTGGGGTGGGGGTGGTGGTGGTGGTGTTTTCTGATGCCAACTTTTGTGGGTCCTATTGTTTGGAAAAGATGAAGTTGCAGAGTCATCAGTTTGTCTTCCTCTCAAACTCCATAGACAAGGATTGAGCCATTTGTTTAACCTTATTCCCATAGAAGGCCGTTGCTGTCACGCATAAGGGTTTTGTCCTAACCTACGGAAGGTAGAATACAAATTCCTGATATTCAGGATGGACTCGTCTCGTAGTGTACTATCTTCTGCCTATGAGTAAAAATTAGTTAAATTAATGTTGTTTGGATTCACATATGCAGTAAATGTTTCTGATAGTTTTTTGGTGTCTGTCTGTTATTTTCCTTCCCAATATTTTTAAGCATATTTTTGCCAGCTCAATGCCATGGATTTATTTGATATAAGCGGATTGCACATTGAGTAGAGAGAATATGACTATTAAGAAAAGAAAATCTAAAATTTTGCTCATTATACCATACAGTCTCGTCAAAAATTGTAAACAAAACTTGGATTGAGAGATTGGAAACTCCGTACAATCTAAAGTTTGAATGTGATGATCCCTTCCGCAAGTCATTTTTTGTTACATTTTATGAATATAAGACAAGGAAGTTTGTAATGCACAATTAATGATAAGACATTAAAGTTCTCTGAATAACAAGTCAACCACATGTGCAGCATGTCCGTGTGAGAGAAGTGAAGATGCCGAGTTGACATCTATACATGCTCAATGGCTACTTTAAAGGGGCTACTTTTTGTGTATGGATAGTCCTTTGGCCACAATGCTCCATAGATGAAAATATTAATCCGCTGTTTTGTTTTGATAAAATTAAAATTTCTAGTATATTATAATAAAAGTTGATGAAACATGTGAATGAAAATAAGTTTGCGGAAACAAGTTTTTAAAAATAGAGGTTGTAACACAGTCTCTCTAGAATGGAGAACCCGTCCCCTCACTCCAAAAACCATCCTACTGCCACCCAAACCATTGGACCCAGTCTTCATCGGCATCGGCCATGAGACGATGACCGGCTAACTCACAACCCATTGGCCTCACGCCGCCCATATGTGGTAAAATCAACCACAAAACCTCCCGCTACGCAAGACAATTACATGGAAAAGGCTTAACTTCAGTTTATTGGCATGGAATTTGAACATTACGATAACTAACAACTAAGCTTTGTTTACAATAAATTTAGGATCGGCTACATAAATCTTCTTTTGTTACTTTGTTTTGATAATCCATTGCCAGATTTTATAAAAATTTGAGTAATTAGATTGTTAATAGCCACAACAATGTTAGCTTTGGTTATATACTCCTCTTCTAACTTCTACCAATCGTTTCGCTCCTATGAAAGAAAATCATATTTAAGCCCATGTTCGAGCCACATTAAAAAATTTCATTCTCATTCTTCTACTCATTTTCAATCACACATTCTTCAATAAAATAATATCTTCCATCACATCAATAACTTTTCCTTCTTTTTCAACCACACATTCTCCATCAATCTATTATTCCAAAATACATTCTTCCAGAATAATGTGGTTCAAACACACCAGAGTTAAAAAACAAGTCCAATCACCTAAGTCGCCCCTTACCTTTAGTCCACACCACCTAAGCCCCTGTTTGACAATCATATATTTCAAAATTAAGAGAACGTGTGATTAAAAAATATTAATTTTTATTGGGTTTGCGTGCAATATTTTATTGTGTGAATATGTGAATGAAAATAAGTATGTAAAAAAGAATTTGAAAAGTATAATTGTTAAATAGAGCTAAAAAAGGTGGTTTGTATATATATATATATATAGAAATCCTTATATGTGCAAGCATTAATTCTTGCAGCCTCACTCTAGCTAAAATCATCTACAAATGCATGCACTGTGTTCCATTTTCTAATTTTAATTTGCTAGAGTATATGTATCCCCAAAAGTACGCAGACTAAGAAAAAACAAAACCTGCAAATTAAGAAAAGAAAATTAATGGACAAAACAAAAATAAAAATATCTTAAAGACATCAAAATTTTACATTAATAGGAATACTTATCCCAACAGAGAAGCATAGTAATGCAAACTCTCATAACATAGAGCTTTCCCCTTTGCTGTCTCACTATTCTTTTCCACTTACCAAATCTCTTCCCCATTTCTTCTGATTAATTATAATTTCTGCCAATCAGAGCCACAATTTATTGACTTCTCAACGGACATTTTATAGCGAATTTAAACACGAATACTGGATACACATGCAGACTTTGTTGGTTTCTCGGTAGGGACAGTTTTACCATATCAGTACGTCGTTTTCACATGCCATTACTTTATCCAGAACTCCTTTGAACATCTATCAATCGGTTCAACCAGCCGGTCACAGATGACAGATGTTTGCAATCCTGTATAATTTAAGTAATCTTGAAGTATAAAATTTAAGCCCCATCTCATTTATTTACCATGTGAAAAATTGTTACAATCACGCGCCCCAAATTCGTACATCCTAGAGCACTTTCACCCCGGCTTTTGGTGTAATGTTTGGGAAAAAACCAAGTATCACAAAACAACGAGTAATTAACATGTTTCTCACAACCACAGTTCCACATGAATGTGTAAAATTGTGTCCCACTGCCATGCAAAAGAGTGGCAGAGAAAGGGTTTTTAGGTTGATAGGCCTTATCAAGAATCAAAGATAAGATCTTTCAGTAGTATAATCTGACCAATGTGGACCTTAAAATCATTAACACTGATGATCACCAGCTAATATATGATCGAATCAGACGGTCAGCATACATTCTGTCCCTGCTGCAAGTTTTATTCAAGGGGTGTACAAACAGAAGTAAACATTGTTGCTGTTCAAAGACAGAAAATCAAGTCGTTTTGTGGAGACAAACTATTTAAACTACTGGAACTTTTGGACCTGATTGAAATGAAAAATATTATAAATGGAAAATCCAAAAATGGTGGGTGCATGATATACAATAATGCATTAGAAAGCAGGTTTATCTGTAATTGAAGATGTGACTAACTGAAACACCACAATCACAATATTCCCCTTTAAAAGTAACAACTAACAAGGTCTAAAGGTAGATGGATAGATATATAGATTGATTGACTGATTGAGAGAGAGAGAGAGAGAGAGAGACAATGTCTAAAGGTAAAAATGTATTCTTTTTCCAAAAATGTGCACCAAACGGGAACAATGTCTTTGCTTCCATTTTTTCGAGTGGTATGGAAAATTTTACAAAGCTTATCCCCGTCATCTCACTAGTGGACTTTAGTCTTGTAATTTTGTGATCATATCTTGTACTATGACTCTATCTCGATTTGATATCACTTATCTCGATTTGATATCACTCTGACACTCCCTCTAGGTTTTATTGTATTATTGTATCAAATATTGGGAGAAATTCTTTTTGCATTTCTCATGTATATTGGGGGAGATGTAATTGCTTTTAGTTGAAATCTCATAAAAGAATTATCAAATTGGATTTTTTATTAAAAATTTCAAGAAATCATTTAACAAAAATGAGGACACAAAGCAGTGAGACAAGGGTATGTAAGAAATTTCAAGAAGTTTCTTCTTTGGAAATTCATAAAATGTATCAAGGGAGACTTAACATAAAGAAAAATTAGACTAACCGATATGGAGTGATCATTTTATGTTGAAGTTTTCTTCCAATTACAAGTGAAAAAAAATATGGTATGATTTCTCCGTCTTATTGTAGATTCTGAAGGCTAGTTTTTTCCTTGACGCCCCATGTTAAATCATACTACACAAACTTCTTGTATCCAAATATGATGTACCAAATGTGACCTATGAGCACAACAAACACATTTAGCCTCGTTTGAGCCGCATTCTTAACTCATTTTTTTCCGAACTTTTTCTAATTTATATGTAAATTCAAAATTTTTCGTATTTTTAATAATATATTTTTCAAGAAATCACAATTACAAAATCTATTTTTTCACCATAAAATGGGAGTCAAACAAACCCTAAATATGTGAAAGTACTTTCAATTTTCATACTCGAAATCATTTTTTAGGCGTTATCCCACTTCTCTTGCATGCAAAGTTTGGAGGAACGAAGGACATAAGTACTCGGGTTTTCACAAGCTTGATACGTTCTGGGGTGCCCATCAAGGGCGTTATCGCATATCCCAGGTTATCTGGACCTATTTCTTGGGTACTTGATAATGGCCAGTCCTTCCAAATGATAATGAACAAACTCTTGAACTGAATTCTTCTATACACAATGAAATTAGTTGAAATTACACCCACACGTGTTTTTTAACTTCCCAATTCGAAAATATGATTTCAAAGTTTTTTGTTCAAAATCCAA